TCTTTCAGATTTGTTCATTTTGTGATGATATCTTCAATTCTCTAATTTTGGTGAATATTTTTGTAATTTTTGGTAAAAAGTGATATTTTCGACTTCTTCTTAAAAACCAAAAGTTCAATTGCTTTGATATTACATATATAGATACTACATGTAGACCTTTCTCAGATTTGTTCATTTCGTGATGATATCTTCAATTCTCTAATTTTGGTGAATATTTTTGTCATTTTTGGTAGAAAGTGTTATTTTCGACTTCTTGTTAAAAACTGTAAGTCCGATTGCTTTGATACTATACATATTGTTCATTTTCTAATGATGTCTTCAGTTCTTTAATTGAAATGTGCATTGCTAACAGCGGAGCTATCTCAGCCGATAGGCTGCTTGTTTCAAACACTATTTAGCAATTAACAATAGAGTTAATATAGGTCAAAGGTTTTGAAATTGTGAAAAGCGTTTCCATGGTGCTTGACCTCGGTTTGCTCTCACTGTTGTTTGATGTTACACTCTCCACATTCTAATAGCTTCACATTTATTATCACTAGTATTGTTTGCTACAAAACATTCCATTTCTCTAAGGCTACTCTTACTTGGTTTAATTGTTCCAAACTGGTTTTATTGTCATACATACAGTATTTCACTAGGTTTTCAGGGTCTTTTACAATAGCCCATTAAATGTGACCCATTAAAGTTGACTGATGTCACGTTTTATAGAATCTGCTCAGTCAGCATAGTTAGATTTAGCTCAAAACGTCTGAACAACATACAAGAAAGCTAATTTGATAAACAACTAGCAACGCATTATTATTGCTCCTGGACTGGATACGGAATCGTCTGAGCTATTGTAGCTGCGTTAAGTCACTTGTGAGGGTGTGTTAGCCATGCAATCGAGGGCCGGCATGTCAAGTTCATAAAGATTTTATCATATACCTTATAGGGTTTCATTAAAAATAAAATGTTATTGTTTCAAAGTAGTGGTGTTTTATTCATCTCAGTTATAATCTTATTTGTACCATTTATTCAATCTGCACAGATTGATATTTCTGCTCCTGACGTCACAACATTCTAACATCATTTCAATCGCAAACGCAACTATTGCAACCCCTT